GGTCTAGGGTTTAAGGTTTAGGCTTTAGGGTCTAGGGTTTAGGGTTTAGGGTCTAGGGTTTAGGGTTTAGGGTTTAGGGTTTAGGGTCTAGAGCTTCGGGTTTAGGGTTTAGGGTTAGGGTTCTAGGGCCCTGAAGACTTCGCAGAATTCTTCCTTATGGTCCCTAAATACAGATGACTGCTACTGTGAAATAGCCCGCATGATGATTGAATTTGTTCAGGCCCCCTAAACCCTAAACCCTAAACCCTTAATCCTAAACCGACCTAGCTCCAAAGTGCTCCCTAAACCCTAAACCCTAAACCCTAAATCCTAAACCGAGCTAGCTCCAAAGTCAGAAGATCCCTAGATGCTGAACCCTCAACCACTCTTGCGAGGTGCCGGAGGCCAGGGATCCGAAACACTGAGCCTTCAAAAGGGAACCCTTAAAGGAAGGTTTAGGGTAGATTAGGGTTTAAAGTTTTGGGTCCAGAATTAAGGGATTAAGGTGTAGGGTTAAGGGAGGGTAGTTTAGGGTTTAAAGTTTAGGGTCCAGAATTTAGGGATTAGGGTGTAGGGTTTAGGGCCCTGAAGCATTAAACCTTAAAGCCTAAGCGCTCAACCTTAAACCCCTGCAGGAACCCTAGGCCGGAAACCGTAAACCCCTATAACGGGGCCCCAGCCATCATCGCATTTTCAAGAGCGCGGATGCAGCAGGAGGAAAAGGGGTCGTCAAAGACTAGGAGCCGGAAACCCGAAACCCTCAACCTATCTGTAGCCGGAAAGAGCTACCCTTTTAGGGCTCCTCATCATGGTTTCTAGATATAATGGTTTCCAGATATAGTTCCTTGAAAGGTATGTCTTTGAGCCGCAGGTAAACCGTAAGCAGAAGCAACGTTTCTTGTGGGATTCAGGAGTCGGTCCGAGCTTTCGACACCACTACCTGCTTCTTCGATGTCTACCAGACGACGCTAGGCTCCTCCAGTAGTACTCTTCTTACTTTTCTGTTGTTTGCTTTTTGATTCTAGAATGGTTTGGGGCTCCCAGTAGTGTTGTTTGTTGTCGGTTTCTATCAAGGGTTCTGTTAGAACTGACTCATAACTCATACGAAAAAGGGTTCCTTATCGTTCAAGGGAGAATCTATGGGGAGACCAAGGATGCAGTATATTGCCTATGCTGGACTGATGATCTATTATTGTGCTCTGGCTCTGCTTCAGGTGCCTCAGGGCTCTTCGGGTTGAGAGCTTATGGGAGTTTAGGCGTTTCGAGTTTGGGGATTCAGGGTTCAGGGGTTTTCTTGTCCAGCCCGAAACCCTAAACCTCGAACCCTAAACCGCTGCGTGTCTGTCATGGGCCAAGGCACAATTGCGGCAAATGATGTGGATCTTGCTGCTGATATCACAGGCCCAAGCTGATGACGATGACGTTTTTTTTGTCTGTGACATGATTGTTATGATTATGGTGATCATGAAGCTGAAGAAGATGATGAATATGAAGCTTTTTAAATATGAATATTATTCTTGTTCTTTGTATTATTGCTACTGTCATTACCGAATCCTTCTTACGAGTGTTATTGCTACTATTACAGTTATATTACTAAGAATATTACAATTATTGTTATTGTCACCATCAATATTGTTATGATTATTATTGCTCCTATAATGATACTAATACCGATTGCCGTTGTTGTTGTTGTTGTTGTTGCTGCTGTTGTTGTTGGCGTTGTTGTGATACAAATAATGATCATAATTATCATTGTTATTGAACCTACTATTGTTTATACTGACGATGGCGATGATGCTGGTGGCTCTCGTCGCGGTGGTGGCGGTTGTGGTAGGGGCGGCGGTCCTGCTTCCGCTGCTTCAAGCATTGGCTTTGATGCTATTTGGAACGGTGACATTGACATGGGCACCTGCTTCTACCGACGACTGCGCTGGTGATCACGGTGATGATGATGGTGATGAGGATGGTGGTGGTGATGATGATGATGATGATGATGATGATGGCGACTGTCATGATGATGAACATGATGCCGATGCGTGTAGTGGTGGTGGCGGTGTGGTGGTGCTGCTGCTGCCACTTCTGCTGCTTCCGCTGTTTCCGCTGCTGCTGCTGGGTGTCGTTGCTGCCACCGGAGGTTGCGGTGGTGGTGGGTGGTGGTGGGTGGTGATGGGTGGTGGTTATGGTGCTGGTGGCAGTTGTGCTGGTAGCAGTGTTGATGCTAGTGGTTGGCACCATCGTGGCAGGTTGTGGGTGCTGGTGGTGGTAGTGGTGCTAAGTGCAAGCCGTGAGCCGGAGTTTGTGGCCGGAAATAGCATGATCAAACCCTACCCTCGACCCTAAACGCCCCAAACCCGGTTTGTCAAGATGTAGTATAGTATAGTATAGTGTAGTATAGTCTAGTATAATATAGTATAGTATAGTATAGTCTTGTATGTCTAGTATAGTCTAGTATGGCCTTGCACAGTCTAGTCCAGGTCTGGTATAGTTCAGTCTGGTCTAGTATAGTCTAGTCCAGTCTAGCACAGTCTAGTCCAGGTCTGGTATAGTCTAGTCTAGTCTAGTCTAGTATATAGTATAGTATAGCATCGTATGGCATTATGGTATGGTATAGTCTAGCCTAGTCTAGTATAGTATAGTATATTTTCCTGATCCGCGATCCCTCAGTCTCGGGTCTCCGAACATTTTCTGAGAGCCTGCAGTCCCCCACAATGGGTACCCTAAACCCTAAACCCTTTAAGGAACCCCTTAAGGAACCCATAGTAGGTACCCTAAACCCTAAATCCTTTAAGATGAACCCAAATGCCCAAACTGCAAAGGATTGCAAAAGGCTCGATTAAGTTGCGCGATTCCCGGATCCACTTCCTGGAGCCGCCTAAATCTCTCAAGCCGATAAACCTTGATTTAAACCCCAAGTCCTAAACCTCCAAGCCCTAAACCTTAAACCGTGTCGCGGAGGTGTCGAAGCCTCCGTTGCATGGGTCGCCTCATACCTTGCCTCTGCTTTCTCCACTTGCATTGGAGGACATCGGGGAATGTATGTTCAGGGAATTTGCGTTTCAGGAGCATGGGGTTCTTGGTTTGAGAATAATTCCTTTTGGAAATCTCCTTTCACTCTTGCCCTTAACCGTGACTTGCAGAATCACGTGAGGACTGGTTGCCGGCGACTGTGTTTCGAACGTTGCATGGACTGCTGGTAACTTTCCTCAGCTGGCATCGGACGCACTCTCCATTGTTGGTGACTGCAACAGTGACAACGAGACGGAGCGATTCCAGATGCCCCAGTTCCGACGACGAGACGGTATTTTGAGTCTTGTAAATGGAAGCTTAGCTGTCCAAGCGATATGTCGTGATGTAGCCAACATGCGCCCTAAACCCTAAACCCTAAACCCTAAGCCCCAAATCCCCCTGAACTTGCTTTCGTCTCTCCTTGGCCCATCGGCCCAGGTACACGCTTGGATCGGATACGGGCCATCCTCAAGAAGCTGCGCCAGAGGCGTCGCCGTCCTAACATTCTTCAGCGATTCCGGCTCAAGGAGAAGCTGTTCACTGGGCGCCAGCTGCGAACAAGAGGTGCTAAACCCTAAACCCTAAACCCTAAGCCCTAAACTCCCTTCCCACCTGACCCCCGGCTCCGACGACCAGAAGCCTGAATCATGTAACATATGGCATGATATAACCTTTCGTATGTTTCGTTACATCGTTATTTTATGATGTTGCATTATATCACATTGCGTCGCATGTATTTTGTTAGAATGTATCATGTTATATCACGATGTATCATATTGAATTGTCTTTTATTATACCGTGTTATATGGTCTTATGTTGTATAGCATTGTTGTGTTATATTGTGTTATGTTGTATTATACTGTATTTTATTGTATGATATTGTTCCATCTTATACTATTAAAAAAGCCTGAATCTCAGAAGCGCACTGAAAGGGGCCCCTGGGAATGCGCTGCTGGAGGCGGCTCAGGCCAGCTGTTTCTTCGATTCTCAGGCCATGACGCTTGGCTCCCACGGTTTAAGGTTTAGTGTTTGGGGTTTGGGGTTCGGGGCTTGGGGTTTAGGGTTTAGGGGCCCGGGGTCCTGTCCCCAATTGCAACCGTAACCCTAGACCCTAAACCCCTAAACTCTTAGCCCTAAACCCTAAACGCTAAACCCTAAGCTCTAAACTCCAAACCCTAAGCCCTAAACCCTAAGCTCTAAACTAGTAATCCGGAAAAGCTTTCAATCCTTCGGTTCTCCCAAAACTAATTCAGGAACACCGACAAGGCCGCAGAAAACGCTCCTATTATTGCGGATCTCCAGAGAAAAGCAGCATTTAGGGTTTAGTGTTTAGGGTTTAAGGTTTAGGGTTTAAGGTTTAGGGTTTAAGGTTTAGGGTTTAGGGTGTAGGGTAGCTATCCAGCGGTCAGGGTGTTTCAAGTCATGTCATCGCGCTCTCGCGTTCTGTTCCCTTCTTTATGTAGACCCTAGACCCCAACCCCCGTAATCCCTAAACCCTACTCGGAGGGTCCGGGGACTTAGTACATGGTCATTTTATAGACTTTTATGTACTGTAACCCCAATTAGGGTCCCTTTTAGGGTACTTTAAGTCTACTTATTACCTACAGACTGAGTCTCCCGACCCTCCAAGTAGACCCTAAACCCTAAACCCCGAGACCTTCTGGGCCTCGGAAGAAGGAGTTCAACAAAACAACCCCAAAACCTCGTTCTCTCCCAGTAAACCCTAAACCCTAAACCCTAAACCCTAAACCCTAAACCCTAAACCCTATACCCTAAACCCAGGATCAGCTTCTTCGCTCGGTTCGGCCTGCAAGTTGTTACTGAGATGAAGGATTGTGCGGTGGTGGACACGGAGACGGACCCTGGGCCTCTGAGGGCTCCTCTAAAGCTTCCTTTAAGGGTTCCTGTATGGGTTCGTTTATGATTTAGGGGTTTAGGTTTTAGGGTTTAGGGTTTAGGGTTTAGGGTTTATGATTTAGGGGTTTAGGGTTTAGGTTTTAGGTTTTAGGGTTTAGGGTTTCTACAAGGTCATCTACGGGACTCTAAGGGGTTGCACAAGGGTTCATGGGCCTGGGGAGTCTCGGGTTTAGGTTAATTAGGAGGAGCCCTTTTGCTTCGTAGTCGAATGCCTTACAGTACACCCCTAAACCCTAAACCCTAAACCCTAACCGCTAACCCCTAAATCCTAAACCCTAAACCCTGAACACCTCACCTTCAAGGGCAAGATGGAGTGCGCCTGGGGAATTATCTACGCGTTTGACAACTTCGGTTGGGCCGTTGAGTATATCCTGCAGAGCATCAACGACTGCAAGGAGGAAGGCAACGTCGATGTTTTATGTGCCGAAGCCATTGGGGACATTGTGTTCTCAGGCAGGGGCAGGTTCTTCCAAGGCTTAGTTTCTAGTCTAGGGTTTAGGGCTTAGGGGGGCCATGGTTTTATTTTTCCAAGGTGCGGCCAACCCTTGCCTGAGAAGTGCGGCCAAGCCCTGGTTCCTTGGTCCTCTGGTCCCTTGGTCCTCTGGTCCCTTGGTCCTGGGTCCTCTGGTCCCCTGGTCCTCTGGTCCCGTGGTCCTCTGGTCCCGTGGTCCTCTGGTCTGCTGGTCCTGCGGTGCGTGCTAACCCTAAACCCCAATCCCCGGTCCCGTGGTCTGTGGGTCCTGCGCTCCCCTGGTCCTCTGGTTTCTTGGTCCTCTGGTTATGATGAACCGGAATTGAAAATTTGGATTCAGTTGTTCGTGTTGTTTGTTGTGTTCTACATTTTAGTTGGTTTTCGCCAAATGAGGGTGTGTGCTCAGGACGTATGATGAACCGGAATCGCCAAATGAGGGCACATGTTCAAGCCATATGATGAACCGGAATCGCCAAATGATGTGGCGTGAATCGCCAAATGAGGGGGTGTGATTAGGATGTATGTTGAACCGGTGTCGCCAAATGAGAGGGCGTGTTTAAGATATATGTTGAGCCGGAATCGCCAAGTGAGAGGGCAGTTTAAGATATATGATTCAAACGGACTCGCCAATTGAAGAGGCGTGTTTAAGATATATGATGTTCCGGAATCGCCAGCTGAGGGGGCGGTTTGAGATATATGATCACCCGCAGCAGCAGCCGCAGCAGCAGCCGCAGCAGCAGCGGCGGCACGACAAGCAGCAGCAGCAGCAGCAGCAGCAGCAGCCGCCAGCCCCAGCAGCAATACAGGCAAACCCGAACACTAGAATCCCCCAAATACAAACCCTGAAAACAAGAATCCCCAAATAGCTTGACGCACAGGCGAACCCTGAAAAGCAGAATCCCCCAATAGCTTGAGGAACAAACAAGCCCTGAAAACAAGAATCCCCAAATAGCTTGACGCACAAACAAACCCTGAAATCCACAGTCCTCTACTAACTTGACGCACAAGCAAACCCTCACAAGTAGAATCCCCCAATAACTTGACGCACAAACCAACCCTGAAAACTAGAATCCCCCAAATTGGAATTGACGAAAAACTTCAGAAAAGACCAAACCCCACGAATTCAAATTCCTCCATATTTTGAGGGAAAACCAGGCTGCACAAATTGGACTTCACCAATATATTATGATGTGATATTATATTAAGGTATAGTATTGTATCATATTCTGATATTGTGATTCATTCTATTGTATCATGTTATATCGTAATCTTAATATGAGTTTTTGTTCGATTATTTTGCTATATTATATTTTACGATATGGTAGTATAGGATGTTAATGGGAATTCACCGATATCTTCGGGGAAGACCAAGCCCCACGAATTGGACTTCACGAATAGCTTGAGAGAAGACCAAGCCCCACAAATTGGAATTCATGAATAACTTGAGAGAAGACCAAGCCCCACGAATTCGAATTCGAACCAGGCTGCACAAATTGGAATTGACCAATAGCTTGACCTGAACAAAGTCCTTCGCCGCACCTCGGAAATAAAAGGTTGGCCGCACTCTGGAAAAAGAGCCCTCCGCCGGTTTAGGGTTTAAGGTCTGGTAAGTTTCAGCAGGCAGCGTCAGAATCCGTCTTAACGTTTCGGGCTTAGTTGATCCTGTTTTCGGGCGTATGACTCCAGGAACCGGTATGATGCCATCTGTGGCTTGGGCGTATCGCGACTGTCGGCAGCGATTCCTGAGCTGACTTGCAGTTAGACTCCTCAAAGGAGGTGTTGCGAGCGACTCTGTCCAAGTGCAAAATAAGTCTTACCCGAAGGCTCCAAAACCCATGAATTAAGGACTATGCTAATGGTGATTTCATGAGTTTTGGAGTCTTTGCGTAGCTCAGCAAATCAGGGTTTACCGCTCGACTCCGGCAGCTCGGTGGTGCGCACCCGTCGTCCCGCTTTGCCTTGCTTCGCCAAAGATGCGTTGCTGGGTTAATTTGGAGCAAGAGCACCTACAAATTCTCAAGTAGCTGTGGTCCTTCCCTCGTTGCATAGCTTGAACCCGAAGCCAGTGGAGGCAAAAACTTGCTTTTAAGTTGGCTGAAATTCAAGGGGGGAGGAATGCTCCCATCCCGTTCCATGAGCTGCTTGTCACAAAGGATGTGATGCAAGACGAGGCGTAAAGCGATTTGCGTTGCATTCACTGTCCCGCTTGTGTACTTCTACGATATTGTATGGTGGTCTACAATGAAAGAATATGAAAGGCAACATCTACGTTTGGACGGTGCCGCATTATCACAAGCCAAGCTCATACCCTAAACCCCAGACTCGTAAACCCCTAAGACCCTAAACCCAAAACCCTGCAGTTTTTTTCTGTCGTCTCGTGTCGTCTCATGCCACCTCAGCCACCTCCGCTCGTTTCAGATCTTGACGTGCCATCTCCTCCCATCTCTGGGTCTTGTCACCCATCTCATGCATCAGAGGGTTCTGTCTTCACATTTACTGTCTTACTTCCTGATACTAAACCAGATAGTCCTTAGCGATTGCAAGATCAAGCTTCGCAAAGCAGGCTAGTTTACATGCGGAGGTGGACAATTTAGCTCGGACCTCGATTGCTGCTGGCACAGGTGGGTTTTTGCATTGTGTTTCTGGGTGTAGCGTGTGGGGCCTGTCTATGGCCATGTTAGCCCTCAGCCCTAAGCCCTGAACCCTAAAGCCATACACCCAGACCTATGCTCCTAAACCCTTAAACGCCGAAACTTGAACGGCCGAAGCCCTAAACCCTAAACCCTAAACCCTAAACCCTAAACCCTAAACCCTAAACCCTAAACCCTTTCTGCTGCTGCAACTTCTCGGCTCGGCCAAAACAGCGCAACGGAAGGCTGCCAGAGTGTCAAGAGTGCGCCCTGGCAGACAATGGAAGATATGTTACAGGCGGTTCCTGGGGTTTCATCGGGCCTTGCCGGGGTTTCTATGGGTTTTACATGGGTCTGATAGGGTTTCATGTCAGTTTTACAGGTTTTTTGATGTGTGATGTTATCGGGTTTGTAAGGGTTAAGGCTTTCAGACCATGCAAAATCTTATAAAACAAGAACCAGGCCCAACAAGCACACTAAACAAGCCTCCAAAGGCCGTTTACAAAAGCCATATACCACCCTTAAGAAAACCCACAGAAAGGTCTGGAGCACCGTAAACGCAGAACCCCAAAACCTAAATCCTAAACCCTAAACCCCAAACCCTAAACCCTAAACCCTAAACCCTAAACCCTAAACCCTAAACCCTAAACCCCAAACCCTAACACCTGAAGTCTCAGGCCCAAAAGCTTCTTTACCATCCCATCGACATGGCGTCAGCAGCCGGGGCCTTGAACTTTGTGTCTTCAGAAAACGGCTTAGGGTTTAGGGTTTTTTGGGTTTCTGTTTACGGTTTAGGGTTTAGGGTTTGGGTTTAGGGTTTAGGGTTTAGGGTTTAGGGTTTCTAAACCGGATTTCTGTAAACAAGGATTCTGTTTAACAGGCTTTATGAAAAATGGCTCTGCAACCTTTTCTGCAAAGGGTCCCTTAAGGGATTTTGTGTCTTTTTTTCAATCGGAACAAAGGTGCCAAAGACTCTTAGAAGGGTTCTAAAAGGAGTTTGGGGTTCAGGGGCTTTGGGATGCTTTGGGTTTAGGG